ATAACATTAAACCGTAGGTTTAGCTTAATTAACTAAATAATTAGTAAAGAAGGACAGTCTAATAATCACAACAATTGGTGTTTACTGTTGACACGTTGTTAGGGTTCTAATCACATGAATGAAAGTGAAATTGCATAGCAATATTCATTGTTCTCGAAGATCCTCGGCCCATACAATCGAGACAGGACCACATATTTCTTTTTCTTCTTGCTTTGCAAATCGAGAACATAAAATAAAATTACGAGTAATATTATTTATCATTATAATGATAATTTATCGATGATGTGGTGCCTCATTATGCATCACGTTTTCTTTTTATTTCCTCCCATCTCTCATATAAATTGAATTATCCAATATTATTATTCCTTATATACTTTCACATCACTGATGATATATCATCATGATAATAAATAATATTATTATAAAATTACTTGACATTAAATGGTTGGGACATTAGGCAAATTTCAATACTCAATTCGAAGTACTTTTTTTTAATTAAGATTTAGAGTCAATCTTAAGTTGAGATCGAATCTTTACTGTTCACTTTTTAAAGAAAATATTGAACAACGACAAGATCAAGCTGATATGTATTGGTCGAGCCTCATATGATAGGAATTACTTACACTGCGATCATTACTTGTAAGATGTAATATTAAGTACCGAAAGAATTTTTATTTTCTCCAATATTGGCTCTACCCTCGAAGCACCCAAATAAATAATTAGATAAGAGACTTTTCCACACTAGTCACTAGTGGAAGTGTAAGATACATTTGTTATCGTGTCTTTTCTATTTTTATTCACTCTCACTACTTGTGTGACAAACTTCTAAGATAGAGATGGAAGAGTTTCCCACCCACAGGGCAAGTCATGATCGAGGAGTCCAAGTGCCAACCTTGAATTTGATATTTGTGATTTATGGTTCATTTGGAAAGAGTTTTAAAAAGTCAAAAATTCTTTTTCAATAAATTTGAATAATCTTTTAAAAGTACTTTATCTGGTTAGAATAAATCTTAGAGTAAGTTGGTTTAATATAACTTTCCCAAAAAGCTACTCTACAAGAAGCAAAAACAAAAATATAACTCGAGCTTGTACTCTTTTGAAATTGCCTTTTGGACTTTTCCCTATAGTCTTAATTTCTTAATTTTTGCGTGTATCCGAGTACTGCTTATCCATTTTTCTTAAATTGGATGTCATTTTATTTATCGAATCATGTTTAAGAAAGATTTTTCAATGAGTTTTAGAATTTCTGAAATTTGATCTATTAACTTAGCCCGTATTTGGTAGAGATTAAAATCTAGATTTTAATTTTTAAGTCAAAGT